CTAGCCTCCCAAAGGTAAAGGAGATGTGCATCGACGGCGGGTGTATCGACGTCAAGCTATATGTCCTTATTGTAGCGTTCGGCTATTTTGAGCACATTCTTAAACCAGTCTTCAATGTCGATTATGGTGGTTTCAACGTCGAGGTCATTCCTAAAGGATTGCCATTCCGTTAATCGCGCTATTCCAGTCTTGGTCTGTTTACGAGTGTGCGCTACGGAGAGTTGGATGATGTGATGATCACTACCTAAAGTTTCCGGTAGCACACTCCACTCTGCCCTAGTGACGTTCGCCGTAAATGTAAGATCTGGATTTGTATCCCTGGAGACGCTGTTCCCGATTCTCGTCTTCTGAAGAGGGTCGTTCCACAGGGTTAGTCTGTGATGTTGAGCAGTATCGTGCACCCTAGAACCCTTCCTCGTGGTGATATGATAGCCCCATGCCGTGTGAGAGGCGTTAAAGTCTCCCATTATTATGATCTGGTGGCTATTCGTGCGCTTCCTGATTTCTCGTATGAAGTGATCGAAGTCTGGTAGGTCTCGTGGGGGGCTGTATATATTGGTTATGAAAAGACTTTGCTGCGTCTTTCGTTCCGGCAGAATCTCTATTAGAGTGTGTTCTATCTGAGTGTCCTCAATTTCGTGTTTTTGCGTTGAAAGTGCTTTCTTGACAAGTATGGCAGTACGTTGGGTTTGTGCGCAGGTCGTGTACCCTTGCAGTCGTGCGTTCTGCGTGTTGGTTTCCTGAAGTGCAATGATGTTTGGTTGGTTAAGCTTGATGAATTCTTGTAGGCTTGCGTGTCGAGGGCGGTATGACCGACAATTCCATTGCCATATGCGTAATGGAAAAAAAGTAAGAAAGATCAATATATATTACTTATCTATTTTAGTTATTTATGCATGATGTAGTAGGAGCAAGACTCCACAAGTATGATATCAAACGTGTTTGGATGTCACCCTTTAAGAGCTGGATCGAGGACACCGCATCGTTGAGGTCAGGCAATACTTTAGAGACTTCTGGAGAGGAAAAAGCCGGGGAGCCATTCTCAGTGTGTCCATCTAAAGTAGATGTCAGCAGTACATTTCTACAGAAAGCATTCAATTATTAAAGAAAAAGCGGTCTCGAACCTGCCAACACACCCAAGTGTAAGTATAAAGTGAACGAAATTCACAGAAACAGCAACTTGTCTACTCTGAACTTGCAATGAATGAGCCCCAGATGTTCTGAGGAGAACACTACAGAACCCTGACTTTGACCCAGAAAGATAAAGAAGATTAACCCTCAGGTTCAAGGGCGACAAGGCCACAGGCATAGAATAGGAAATGCTTATAAGAAAGGAGGATGATTGAAAGAGTAAAACCAGGGAGCTATAAGAAAGGACTCAATGATATGAAAAGCATTAGGTCTCAATGTAGAGACTTAATGCTTTTGTGTTGTTTTTTCATAATTTTTTTAGATTACCTGTATTTCTGTACATTACTTAGAGTACCGTGCATTTTCCTTAATTAAATCTGTTGTGTTATTTACCAAATCTTTGCCTCATTCCATCACCAACCACATGACTCCATGACAGCTGGTAATGTATGTAGATACAGGTAGCTAAATTCCCAACAGCTTGAATTGGCTCATAGCAGCCCTGATTAAATATTGGCCATGTTTCCTTACTATGCCGAAAAAATGTGGCAGTTGGATGCAGTATGCACATTGGGTGCAGTATGCAAATTGACAGAAAAGCCTTTCTTGTCTGCCAAGGAACGTCATATGCAGAGATTAGACTTGTGCAAATATTATATTACAGGTTCAAAGAGAAGAGTGACTTGGTCAAGTATTTTCTCATTGAGTTCAAATTGTCTGTACCATTCTTAAAAAAAAATGAGCAAATTTACCATGAGCCACCAACTTGCACAATATTTTTTAAACAAGGCATGTGCAAGCGTTATTCTTTTTGGTTCAAAGGGAAGTGGCAGCAAGTAGTAGCAGGATTTGACTTTAGATAGAATGCAAGTGCAATAACCTGCAAAATACGTTATGTTCTAAGATAGAGCATAAAAGACCGTTTAAAAAGCTTTTAAATTTAAACAATGATAAATCGATGAGTGAGTAATGTGCATTACTCTATAAGGTAAAGTAGTGCACTTGTTTACATGGACAAGAAGGGCACGACAGACACAACCAAATTTATTTCAGAAAAACACTTGAAACATATGCACCCACGCTGAACCCGAGCAACACAGAAAGGAAACAACAAGCACTGAAAACTTTTCCAATATCAAATTTTGTGCACATAACGATATTATTGTTACGTGAAGATACACGTGAAACTAGGCGCTTGAAGATATATTTACACAGCGCCAACGCGCAAGCCAAGATGGAGAATGAGTGCTGTGCTCTACACCAAAATCACGTCTTTCTCTGCGCCTGTCTAACCGCTTTTTTGGGACATTGTCTCATAACAATATAATCATGCCACGTGTCAAAACAAGCTCAACAGTTCATGGTTTCTTATCCAAGAAACACAATTTGGGCATACTAAAGCGATCAAAACAGAGCTCATGCAGCCTATACACTTCAAAGTTATAAAAATGTAAACCAAGAAAATGTATTGTTCAGGGTAATTTGCAAGACGTTCATGTAGTACTTTCATGTGCTCAACACGAAAGTTGGGCCCCCAACACTAACCAGTGTTAAAAATGTAAGACTACACACTTTCAATTAAAGCCCCTCCAGGAAGGTGGCTCCTCGATGACTTGGTAATGAAACCAACAAACTCATCTGTCTTTTCTTTTGTTAATGTGAAATGATTCTACTATTTCTCTTATTAGTTAGTTTCAATGATGAAAAGCCACTGTGGTGTCATCAAATACGGAGTATTCAACAAAAGTTGTAGTAGTAAGCCCCACCAGCGACTGCAGGATATGGCGCAGGTAACGCGACAGTTTGTACAGCGGTGTGAGATGTATCATGATAGAGAGAGAAGATACCCGAAGGGTATCTGAGATACATGTATATTTGCTACTGCCCAGGACTGCTTACACCCATTGTAAAAAATCAGGAAGTTAGCATGCGAAATGCTGACCAAACAGCAAGAAAACGCTTCACACCGCTGGCCTGATCTTGAGAGCAATTCAAGTATATGGTAGTAGAGGATGTTGGCAATGCTGTGAAGCTTTCATTCAAGCTATATTTGACCAGTTCTTGCTAGAGGCTCACATGAAATATTGAAAGATTCCATTGCAACTTAATCCCACTGCCTAATGTTCAGGAATATGGCAAACATAACTGTACAACCCTCAAAGTGGCAAGCAGCCATGCTGCTTGCCACTTTTTGTTTTTTGAGCAAATCGTTGATCTAGAAAGGAAAGTGGCACAAATTTTACAAGTGTTTAAAAAAAATCGTAAAGGTTTCGATTTCACAATTAAGTTACCAAGTAGTAATAAACTACGATTTTTAGATGCAGAGTTAGCAGCCACAGCGGGACATGTATGCTGGTCATGAAGTCGAAAAATGGAAAAACCAGGCACTTAGCTATGCAACTAGGCACTTAGATACAGTTCGAAATATTTTAAGGTCGTATAGAGCAATATAGCCTTCTCATGTCTGAGAGTAGCTCTGACCAAGCCGTACCCAGAAAAAATTAACGAAAGTTTTAGTCAACAAATCAAAAGACTAATGAATGCTTGGTATGAAAAACACATGCTCTGTAGATCAGCAAACAAGCTGATTAGGTACATATGAGATAACTGTAGGAACACATCGACAGCAAAAAATGACAGAAAAAAGGTAGTGTCTATTCGAACAGTATAGCATACAACTTGAAAAACGTAGGTTTGGCCTAGAAGTAGTGTTTTTTGGCAGCCAACAAGCTAGGTAAATTACGTGCAAAATTGGACCACAACATTTTGTCAACAGAAAAATTTAATGTCGACAGTTGCAACATAAACCATAAAACAATCTTTGTTAGATGCAGATTATCCGTTGTATATTGTTTACCACTATCTCTGGGGAAAGTATACATTGGCCAGACAGGTCTGAACAACAGGCTGTAGGAAGCTTCTTTTGCAAAAAATAATTATTCCCACCTTAAGGGACACTGTTCTATGTGTGGCTGCTTGCCACTATTTAATGACACCAAAGTGGTTTATCAGAGAAATGGTAGAATCATTTCACATAAACAAAAAAAAAAAGACTGCTGCATTATACAATCATCGGGAAACCACCTTCCTGAAAGGGCTTTCATTGAAAGTGTGTAGTATTACATTTGTAACGCTGGTTCGTGTTGGGGTGCTGACATGAACGTCTTGCAAATTACTCTGAACAATAAATTTTTTTTAGGTTTAGATTTTTATTACTTTGAAGTGTATAAACTGCACAGGCTCCATTTTGATCGCTTGAGTAAGCCCAAATTGTGTTTCGTGGATAAGAAAGCATGAACTGTTAAGCTCGTTTTGACACGTGCCACAATTATATTATCGTTAAGTGCACATTGATGTTGGATAAATTTTCAGTGCCCGTTGTTTCCTCTCCGTGCCGCTCGGGGTTAGCATGGGTGCATATGTATCAAGTATTTTTCAAAAATAAATTTAGTTGTGCATGTCGTGTCCTTTTTGTTTCTGTGGTCGATGTAAACAAATGCGGTACTTAACTTTATGGTGTAATGATCACTCGTCAACTAGCCCAGCTCTGGACCTTATGTAAGTAATGCATTTATTTAACATTGAAGTGCAGCTTAGGCAATGTGGATTTTTTCGGAATAGATGTTTTCACAATATAGCACTATTCCACGACAGTGAAACCACCTTTACAGGGATTGCATGTGGACTAATAATAGTACATCACTTTTTCTTTTTCATTTTGGATAAATTAAACTCGAACCAAAGTGAATTCAAATACAGGAATACTTGCTGAAATATTTGAAGTGCTCAACTATTTGCACAAGCTTAGTAATAATGCTATCGGTTGGCATGCTGCCATCGACTGCTTGTTGCCAGCCACACATACTCACTAGGCAATTGTGCTTGGCTGCCTCCTTTCTGCTGGTGTACCTGCAGTGCACGGGTACACAAAGCTTGAATGAGTCCATCGGCACACATTCAGTCAAAAATATGGTACGAAAGGAATCATAACATCTCAGAGTTTTCCACAGTATCTCGGCGATGACTTATCTTGACAAAGCTATGAAGGTGGGGCTTCAACACATTCATGTTAGTCCGCAACAACAGCTTCAAGCTCGCTCGCTTGGATTGTTGATGCATTCACAACATGAAGATATGAATGGGAATAACAATTAAGTGGCTCTAAGTGCATAATCTTAAGTGCATTTCATGTATTTATGCCATATAAGCAGTTTATTTTTCTCGGAGAATGAAACGGCACATTCATTCTGCAACTGCTTTTAATGTAACTTTCCTTGACATCATTGTCTTCTCATTAATATTAGGTATAAAAAAGGTGTAACATGCATGTCACAGTGATAAGATAGAAACCATTGCAGTCATTATCAGGAAGTTTGTTCTAATTATGTTTAAAAAAGAGTAGGCAAAACTAGAAATCCTGTATTCTTGTTTCTGATGTGTACATGCTATCGGGTATCAATTCCTCTCTGATTATATTACATGATATATTTATAACGATGGGGGGCATGGAGAACAAAGCATGCACTCTGCTGGCCTACTATTACTCATTAAGGTTCCCGTAAAAATTATAGATGCTTTATGCTAAATAAAAACATTGTCTAAACTTTTGCAAGTGAAAAAAGGATCACCTCCATTAGATTCCTTTCAGAAAGTGCAGCTCTTTGTTGCTTTAGTTTCTTAATCTCTTCATTGTGGGCAATTTCCTGCAAAAGAAAAAGAAAAATAAAGAAATATGGTTGTGGTCAATGCGCACTAGTTAAGCTGTTGGTTTGACAAAGAAGGCAACAAGAATTATCATCGCCACACGGTGTTGTTGGAAATGACTCATTTTGATACTTTGACAAGGAGCACCCCTGATAATAATGATAAATCAAGCCCGCAAAAATAGACAATCTCCGCAGGCAGAAAATCCTGGTGGGTGCCAATCATGTTCATGCACATTCCAAAAAATTCTTGTTGCTAAAATTTTGCATGCTTTCCTCAACCGCACTGTCAACTATGCTTGGGTAAGTATCACTCAAAACAATGAACAACAGCCGTGATTCCTACAATCCGAAGTGACATTGGATTGCATAGTGGATGTGCGTCTCGATTGACTTGGCTCACGAAGCCAAATTCAATATTCATATGGTTCGTACAATATTTAATAGAGGAACCTCTGGCGCTATGATTATCCAGTCACTATGAATAATGGGTAGTACATGGATTTGCCTGATATTCGTGCTTGCAGCATTGAATGCACTTGTGGCTTCGTTTACAGTTTTGTTCTGGCATTTGTTTCGGACAAAAGAATGAATCTCTGTGAACTTCATCAGCCGATTTAAATTAGTGAGCATAAATGGTTAAGGTGGTGATCTCAAACAGCTGAACTACATCTTGGGACAAAGCGGTTGCACGCCACATAGAGTCGAACAGAGCTGAAAAAGCATAACTTAAACAAATCCGTGAACTACCCATCATTCCCATGCTGGTGGAAGCACCAAGCCTTTCAGCTCCCATGGACACTAGTGCCAAATTTCTCTCTAGTGTATTAGAAAAATCCACGGCCCCTACTAGGTAACATTATTGGTCACCGGAAGCAACTAATAACATCACTGGCAAAGTGAAATAAAAAAGATATGTCCCATTGTCTGCTCAGGTTGCAAGCTTCGATGATGAATAAGCCTTGATGCACCATTGCATACATCCCAGTATATATTACCATACATGTGCAAGTGCTGCAGAAGACAGTAAAGGAAAAAAAAAAAGGTGAAAGCTTGCACTTGGCTACACTAGACTCAAGATACAACGAAGCTGGCCAAGTGCAGTACAGTTAGAATGAAACTGTCCCAACAAATCACAATGGTGTTTGTATTCATGTATGTATCGCACAAATCTATACCTAAGCGCGAACACAAAGTATGAAGCTCATCTTTGATAAAGGCTGGTCCGCAGGTGAAAGCTCACAATATGATTTGCACTGTGATTTTTTTCTTCATATATACCAATTAATATATGACACCTTGAGAAAATCTGTAAGTTTATTTTCCAGCAAGGGTTTCGCTGCCAACTAAAAACTCATTCACAGAACGTTTTCATCGCTCTCGGAGCGTTCACCGGCCAATGACCATAGTTATAGTGCGAGAACACAACGACGACAAAGAGACAAGAAGGACACGAGTGCTATCTTCTAACTGAGTTTATTGGGCAAAGTGCATAAACATATAGAGGAGACCAGTAAACCATGTGACAAAAACCATGTGGCACAAAGTGAAATAAATGAGTAAGGGAAAAACAAAATCACAGAAAAAGGCAAAGTAAAGTCTATGGGGAAACGAAACAGAAAAGTAAAAGTAATATAACTGCTTTCGCACACCGAAATCTCTTTCTCGGACAGAGACACAGAAGGCTTGCTAATGCATGACACCTGTTTGCGTGCCATCTGCGCGGCCTCGACAATGACTCGGTTGTGCTTATCCCTGTGCTTGTACAGCATCACTGTGTCCTTGAAAAGGGGCACACAGTTGCACTCAGTGCAGTGCTGAGCAAGAAAGCCATCTTTTACGTTTCTAACAATGTTAGAGTGTTCTCTCAGTTGATTGTTCCGACACAACAAGCACTGCAGAAAAGGGGGGTTCTATAGACAACTTCCTGGGAGCATCCTGCGGTGCTTCTTATGTCGGAACGACCGGAAGGTGTCTGAACGATCGACTAAGCGAACACGCTAACAATGTTAGAAACGGGAAAGATGGTTTTCTTGCTCAGCACTGCACTGAGTGCAACTGTGTGCCCCTCTTCAAGGACACAGTGACTCTGTAAAAGCACAGAGATGAGCGCACCCGAGTCATCGTTGAGGCCACACAGATGGCACGCGTACAGGTGTCATGCATTAGCAAGCCCTCGGTGTCTCTGTCCGAGAAGGAGGTTTCAGTGCGCGCGAGTAGTTGTAATGTTACGAGTAACTTATTTATTAAATTATATATGATGGACCGTGCTCGGCGAACAAGATGGCGACAGTTCATCAACAACCAGTAACCGACGTCTTCTTTCTCTTTCATGCAGCAAGGCTGTGCCGGCTGTTGTGTATCAATATTACTTTTACTTTTCTGTTCCGTTGTTTCCTTATAGACTTTCCTTTGCCTTTTTCTGCGATTTTGTTTTTTTCCTACTCATTTATTGCTCTTTGTACCACATGGTTTTTGTCACATGGTTTACTGTCTCTTCTATATGTTTTCACGCTCTGCACAATAATCTCAGTTGGAAGTTAGCGCTCGTGTGCTTCTTGTCTCTTTGTCGTCGTTTTGTTTTCGCGCTATAACTATCGTCATGTCATACCAACTAGCCCAAGCTGCCACACACGTTCACCGGCGTTTCAGAGAAGGTGTGCGAGCACCACAGAATTTATTCAAACATTGCTGCACCAGTGTCATGCCTCATAGAGATGAAAGACAGGTAGGCTTGTTGCATAGTGAAAAATAGTTTGTCCTCGTGCGCATATAGTTGCTCGCGCATGCGCAGTAACCGTTGCTAATTCAAGAATTGGCGGGTAGAAATACAAAAACGAGACTTGCGAAAAATGGAAACTGGCGCCACAGTACCTCTTGACTTGGAGGGAAGGAACGGCGACCACGCAACCAGGCTAGAAAGAATCAATGACGTGAATATAAAGGGCAGAAGCAACAATGAACACGCGCGGCTTGCCTTGGTAGCATACATCAAGAAATCTCATGCAACACGTGTGTGCACGTGCAAGGTTTGTGGTTGCGGTATTTATATGCGTTGTTGAAAGAAATGCGCCAGTGCTTTCCTTGTTGATCTCACCTTAAAAGAATATAAACGATAACGGCTACATGCTGAGCTGATGGGCTCACCTTCCCACTCTGGGGGCATGTCCGCGGCGAAGTTGTCTTTAGTGCGCGGCTCAAACCAGCGCCTTGGCTTTCGTTTTCCTCTGCTGGGATCTGAAAACGCAGTTCAGCTGAACCGTGGCTTGCACAACTTTGCACAGGAGTACGTGATGGACAACTTACCGGCCGCAATTTCAAAGTACTTGTTGCCAAAATGATCGCGACCAACCTCGCGCTGAGGAAGCTGTTTCGTCGTGATGGATGCTAGAAAATTTCTCCATATCCGCGCAATGACACCTCTGCCCGGGCTTGACATGCTGCACAACGCTAATAAATACACTGCACTGGAAAAATAAAGCTTGTGTTCGCTAACGCAGAGAAGTCGGCGAACGCGATGTAACGCCAGGCAACACGCGTTAAGAGCGCCTACACACAGAACACCATGCAACACATCCCACCATGCATAGCCTCCTATATAAAAGGTCCGTTCGATTCACCTGCACCACGTGAACCAGTTCACGAGGTGCTGCACCTTGCCATTCGTTTCAGCGGTGCAGCATTGACGACCACTGAACCCTGCCATTCGTTTTGAAAGGTGCAGGATAGGTGCAGCACCGGTTCACGATTTTCCTGCACCTCCTTCGCTGACGGTGCCGGCTTGGTGCAGGCGCGCGTGCAGCTGAGCAGACGACGCAGCACTTAGACGTAGGTGGCTTAGGCGCCGTACCCGCCTCTACAAATGCGGTGTGTTTTGCCAAGATGTTTGCGCCTCATAAACTGTCCGCATGTTCGATTTGCCATCGGTCAGTGTTTGCTGAATGGTGTAAATTAAGCGAAAAGAAATAAGGCCTGCACCTTGTCGGCACATCGTCATTCGTTTCGGGTGTCGTGCTGTGCCTGCACCACTGAACTCACGCTGCACAATTTCTGAACTTCGAGTGCACAGCCGTGAATTGGTTCCGACCAGTGCAGGTGAATCGAACGGACCTGAATCGAACGGAGTATATAGGAGGCTATGCACCATGCATCCCACCACACCGAACACCATAGGTCCATTCCAGTTCACAAGGTGCTGCACCTTGCCATTCGTTTTGATGGTGCAGCACTGGTTCATGATTTTTTGCATCTTCTACGGTGACGGTGTCGGTTTGGTGCAGCCGCGCGTGCAGCTCAGCAGGCGATGCAGCATTTAGGCGCCCCTATGGGCTGCAGTACGCGCCGTACCCGCCTCTACAAACGCGGTGTGTTTTGTCATGATGTTTGCGCCTCATAAACTGAGCGCATGTGCGATTCGCCATTGGTCAGTGTTATCTCAACGGTGTAAATAAACGAACTGAAATAAGGCCGTTTCAGGTGTCGTGCTGTGCCTGCACTGCTCAACTCACACTGCACAATTTCTGAACTCTGTTGTGAACCGGTTCCGACTGGTGCAAGTGAATCGAACGCACCTCATGTCATAGCCTATGTTATGACCAACGTTGGCTAGGACCACGGAGAAAGTGGCTAAGACCATAGTCAACGCTTCCTCTTAAAAAATGCCTGGCGTATGAAAAAAAAATGCTGCTACACTTTTTTTCTCCTTCATTTTAAAATGTTTTTGGTCGCTAGCGTCACTTGAGGCGGATGGTGCAACAACGCAACACTTTGCATATCCTCCGAAACAATAATGCAAAGTTGCAGGTCTCGAACAACTCTCGATTGACGCGCCCCTATGGGCTGCAGATGAAGAACGCACTGATACCACGGTTACACTTCTAGTTCACTGTAGTTACACCGTGAGTCGTGACTGATACCGCCCGCCGCCGTGATAATAGATAGATGGATGGATGTGGCTGTACCCTTTAGATTGGGCGGCGGCTAACGCTACCTAGCCGTAATACTTAGTTAACTAACCATTAGATTTATCTTTTTTTTTTCACTCTAAATAGTGAAGTTGAGGATTGGTACTTTGAAGTGAAGGATGTAATTTTCACTCGTGCCTTGACTTTAGCCACCAATCAGATAACCTCCTTCTAGTTAAAAGTCTACCCGCTAAAGTCTATTTTGCCCTCCCTGTCCCTAAATCCCAGTGCTTTGAAAAACTCTGCGTCATCATCCTGAACTATAGGGTGAAGCCCTTTACAGAACATTATCAAGTGTTCGGCAGTTTCTTCTTCCTCTCCACGCGCACTGCTTACTGTGTCTACCCCTTCATATTTGGCCCGATATGTCTTGGTTCGCAATACTCTCGTCCTGGCCTCAAACAGTAGAGAACTACCCGGAGTATTATTATAGATATTTTTTTTGGCAATTTCCTGCTTAAAAGTTCGATAGATCTCTAGTGCGGACTTCTTAATCATGCCAATTCTCCACATATCGGTCTCAGCTTCCTTCACCTTCTTCTTAACTGATAATTCTTTTTGGTTTGGCCCCCTGCTGTTTTCCAAGTATTTACAAGTCAATTTCCTGGTTCACTTCCGCCATTTTGTATCGACATTCTCCATGTACAAGTAGCTGAAAACCTTCCTAGCCCAACGCTCCTCCCCCATTTCTTTCAATCGCTTCTCAAATTTTATCTTGCTGCTAGCTTCCCTGCCCTCAAATGATGTCCATCCCATATCACCTTATACTCCCTGATTTGGTGTATTCCCGTGAGCTCCTAAAGCAAGCCTACCTATTCCACGTTGCTTAATTTCTAATCTTGCTTGAACTTCTGACCTCATGCACAAGACCGCATTGCCGAACGTCAGCCCAGGAACCATGACCCCTTTCCATATTCCTCTCACAACATCATACCTATTGTAATTCCACAGTGCCCTATTTTTCATCACTGCATTCCTGTTACCTTTAGTCGTCACGTATATTTCGTGTTCCCTTAGGTACTCGGTCCCATTGCTTATCCATACGCCCAGATATTTGTATTGATCTGTTGTCTCTAGCGTGACCTCCTGTATTTTAAGCTCACAACTTCGTTATCATTAAAAATAATGACTGCTAATTTTTTCTTGCTGAATCTAAAATCTAACCTATCTCCCTCATTACCGCAGATGTCCATCAATCTCTGCAAATCTTCCTTGTTGTCGGCCATTAGCACTATATCATCTGTGTACCTTAATGCTGGTAGTGCCTGATCAATGAGTTTTCCTTGTTTAACGAAAGAGAGGTTGAAGCCAAGTCCACTTCTCTCTAATTTGGCTTCTAATTCTTGTAGGTACGTCCTTAGTAGCAAGGGTGACAGTGGACACCCCTGCCTAAGTCACCGTTTCACCTCTGTGGGCTTGGATACCTGTTTTTCCTACTGTATAACTACCTTGTTACTTTTATAGATTTCCTTTAAAAGATTAGTGACTCCATCTTCCACACCCAGTGTATCTAGTATTCCCCACAAGTCCTCTTGAACCACGCTATCATACGCTCCCTTGATATCCAAAAATGCTAGCCACAGGGGCCTGAGTTCCTTTTCTGCTGTTTTGATGCACTGCGCGTCAGTGAGAACAGATTGTCTTCCAACCTCCTGTGTTTCCGAAACCCATTCTGCAGTTCCCCCAGCACCCTCTCATCCTCTATCCATGCCTGCAGTCTTTCCTTTATAATCTGCATCGCCAGCCTGTAGACCACTGATGTCACTGTTATAGGACGGTAGTTGATTATGTCATCTTTGTCCTCCTTTCCTTTATAGATCATGCTCATCCTGCTAAGTTTCCATCCATAAGAGACTTCACCATCGATTATTATTGTGCTCACTGCCTCTCTCAAAGTCTGTTTATACTTCGGACCCAATGTCTTTATCAGCATAATTGGAATGCCATCTGGGCCTGTTGATGTACTTGGAACCCTCTTCTCAGCCCTTTGCCACTCTCGTTGTGAAAATGGAGCCATTGTGCCACTTGATCCATCCCTGTCTATAGTGGTGCATAAGGCACTTCTTTGTTGAATTTTTTCTGTCACCCTTGTTTTTATATATTCAATAGATTCGTCCCCTCCTTGCCTAGCACCTTGAGCGGTCGTTGTAAACCTCTGCTCTAGGCTCGTCTCCTTTCTTAGGGAGTTTAGATGGTTCCAACATTTCGCAGCTGCCTTTCTGTACTTTTTATGTAGTTCTGCCAGCCACTGAGCACCCTTTCTTCTAGTCTTTTTATTGATCAGGAGGGATGCTTCCCTTCTAGAACTTAAAAAGATATCCCATTTTCTTTCAACATCATCTGTCGGTTCACCCCGTTGTTTAGCATGTCTGTGTTCCCTAGAGGCTTCCTGACGTTTAGCTATGGCTCTCTTAACTTCGTCATCCCACCAACTCTTGGGCTTGTGTCTTCTTTTCCGAGGTGACTTGTCACGTGCCTTAGCAAGCTCTAGCCCAAAGAGTCTAATTAGATTTGTGTATGTCCACACATTTTTATTATCCTCACTGATTACTTTCTCAATTTATTTAGTAGCAATTTCTATTTGCCTTTCTAAATGAAAATTTTCCTGTAGTTGATCATCTTGTCTCCTTCCCACTTTCGCTGCTCTTCCAAAACTTAGCTTGATACGTTTGTGATCACTACCCAGACCTGTGGAGCCACCTTCATCTATGTGCATTCCCCTGAACTTATTGTACATCTTTTGTGACATCAGTGTGTAATTTATCGTTGACTGCAGCCTTCCCACCTCCCATGTTATTTGCCCTTCACAGTTCTCGGTACTGTTGCAAATGATCAAATCATGCCTTTCACACATATCCATGATCATTTTGCCTGTTGAGTCAGTATACCCATCTGTATCTTCTATGTGTGCATTCATATCTCCTAGTACAATTATCTCGCACTCTCCTCCTAACTCCTGAATGTCATTTGGTATACACTCTACCATTGCCTGGTTTTCCTTTCTGGCCTTTGCTCCCGCCTGTCCACAAGTACACGAAACCAAGTAGTGTCATTTGCCCTGCCACTTTCTCTTTTAGCTATAAATGTTCCTTGCATCCCTGCTTGACTCTTTGCCAACCCACGCTCTTACGTATAAATGCACCAATTCCACCCCCCTTTTTGCTGCCTTCTGTTCTATTGCAATATTCCCATACTTAGTCCGGATTGCAGGGTGGTTGCTCCAAGTCCCGAAGATGTGTCTCCACAGCCCCTATATACCATCAGCTCCGTCTGCCTCAACTGCTCTTCTCTCTCTTCCCACTTAAACCTATTCCTGCCACCCTGCATGTTAATATAGCCTACGTCGACTTACCTCGGCCCTTGTGCTTACGTCGATTTCTTCTCTCACGGACTTCGTGTGGCTTGAATATTTGAATTGAATGATCGCAGCGCCAGAGTGCCCTCTAGGTAATTTCGAGAAACTCTATGGTCCGCTGGTGGGTTGCGCAATGTGAGGTACTACAATGTGTGCGGCCTGCTTAAATATCGTCATTGGGTTTATCCTGCTGTTGAAGCTGTAAAAGGTTGGTATTCTTCTCTTTTCAACTTCAGAATTTTCACCCGAAAAAACCGAATCCAGCATAAGGCACGTAG